TATCTATCTATCTATCTATCTATCTATCTATCTATCTATCTATCTATATTTCTTACGTGCATACTATGTACCAGGCACTGTTTTCTACCTTCTGTCTCTAAGCACTGAGGATACGAAAAGAAGCAAAATACAATCCTTACTCTCAAGAAGCTCACAATCTAATGGTCCAGTCCTATACCACCAACTATTTTCTAGATATTTTCATATCCTATCAATCTTAATCCAATCAAGCTCAACACATCTGAGCCAGAACTCATTATCTTTCCCTATAAACCCATCCTTTCTCCTAATTTCCTTATTTTTTTCAAGGATGTCATCATCCTTCCAGTTACCCAAGTTCATAACCTTAGAGTCATCTTTAACTCTTCCTGCTTACCCCATCCCCCATCTCTCATCCACTCAATTGCCAAGTGCTATTGATTCTGCCTCCATGACATCTCTTGCTTCCATTCCTGTCTCACTCTTTCCACAACTACAATGGCTTCCTAACCAGTCTCCTTAGATCCAGTCTCTACTCTTGATAATCTTTCCTCCACATAACTGCCAAATAGATATTCCCAAAACACAACTCTGACCATACCACTCCTGTTCAAGAAACTCTAGTGGGTCCTTATTTCTTCTGGGATAAAATATAGACTGCACTGTTTGGCATCCTCTGTTTGGCTCACGTTTGGCATGTTTGGATTCTGAAAGCCTTTGGAATCTAGTTCTTCTCTTTTTAGACTAATTACATATTACTGCCCCCCAGGCACTCTGGGTTCCAGCCTACCTGACCTACGTACTGTTTCTTGAGTATAGCATCGTATATCTTGCCTCTCTTTCTTTGCATAGGCTGTTCCCTTTGACTGTAATGTTCTCATCTGAACTATCACCTTTTGGATTCTCTAGATCCTATTAAGGATCTCGGTAATCTCAAGTGTTCCCACTTATAAGTGATCTTTCTTCATTACCTCCTCATTAGAGTTCCCCTCCCCATCCTCTATCCCTAAATCATTATATACTTTGTGTGTATACCACTGTATATTTACACATACATATATATGTGTGTGTGTGCACACATGTATTCATGTATACACTGTATATTTATTCATACATATATGTGTAAGTATACTGTATATCTATACATACATGTGTGTATGTGTATGTGTATATATACAGTATATGTATACATACATATATGTGCATGTATACTGTACACACTGTATATTTATACTACACATGTGTATATGCATATATACTGTATATTTATACATACATATACAGT